AGCGAAAATCAGACCTGAAAAACGAGCGTCAAACATGAAATATAGAGTGCGATGCCGGTAAATTACATAAAGCGTAAAAAAGTGGTGCACAAATAATACTTGAAATAAGAAAAGTACAGGCGTGGATTAATGGTAGCAAAGATTGTAAAACTTCTATGTAACAAATCAAGAAAATCACAAATTCAATCTTCAAGGAGAGACCAGCTACGTATCGATGTGATCGTAGAGGGGAACTATCAATAAATACTCTCTCAAAGTCAAGGCCATGAAGCACAGAAGCTTACCCCAGCCCTTAAATGTAAAGAGCCGTAGCGATAGGAAGTAAAGCTAGCAGATCTCAGTCCAGATAAATTAAGAGAAGGAAATTTCAAATGGAATTCATCATTTCACTTACACTGTTATTGTTATCTTGAGTAGCCGAGCACAAGCATGGCACAAGACTCTTTACAGCAATAAGACTTTTTAAGTTATTTGATATTCTCGAAATTTCCATGATAAGAACAAGACCGCAAGGGAGAAAAAAGTCGTAAATCAAAACAAAGCAAAAGCAAAGGATGGACAGTGTCGCTGGCAGTAAAGTCGGATTTATCAACTGATCTCAAGATCATATAAAGCTCTGGAAATAAAGTCTCTTAGCTTGCACAGCTGTTTAGGATGACACTTGCAAGAACGAGGACAAAAATATATGAAGTAGTTTACATATATTTGTCATTCCAGCCCAGCCGCCAAGCAGTTTAAAACAATACGAATGGTGTGTAGCATAACAATACCCTATTGAGGCCTCTTGACCAAATCCGCACTGAATCACGCATCACTTTATATGTCCTTTGAAGCTGAATGTTTTCTGTCCAGTTGGTTTTGATTAGATTGCATTTCGCCTCAGTAACGTGAATCGAATGATTAATTGATAGTTTCGATCGACACCTTAACACGATTCCAAATTCAACTACGATGTTGAATTGAGTAACCTTCACAGTACTGTGATCAATATATGTACAGAGTAGATGAAAACACAGCTATTAGCAAGTCAGAGGAACGGTTGATATTCAACTTTGGGATTCGTCGAAAGTTAAAAGAGGAATAAACCGAAGTTTCGAAACTCTTCTCAGTGTCGCAACTTGATTTTAAGATAATTATAAAACATATATCGTCATCTACAGTGCTATTTCTACTCCATTGTCTTCGACAAGAAGCTGCATCAATAATGTTTTCTGTTAATTAATTTTTTTTTTTAATCCCCAGATTGCAAAGTGGAATATTTTCAAAACCCTGGACCTGTATTTCAAAGGTTTAGCTTTGTATTCGTAAAAAAAAATAATGAAATTAACGTGGTCGCATTTAACTGTGGTATAACTTTATAACTTCCTTGGGTTCTAGTTAGATAAGCATTTAAAGATTGTCTCCCGAGCTCTTAACGCGAACTTTGCTCGGGCAAAACTCGGTTCGTTCGGCCTCGAATCAAAGGTAAGCGCACAAAACCTCCTAGATTTTCAGCATATAATTTATTAGAGAATCCTCGCGACTACGTTTACTCGAATACTCTCAAAACTATATTCTCATTTTCGGTAATAATGCCCCAGGCTTTAACCGCATTTCACATTTCCGCTTCCAGAAAGAAAGCTCAACAAACAGCGATGTCTAAATAATGGGCTTCAAAAGTCATGATATGTAAAGAAATGGCCATCTGTTGTAAAGTGACCATTCGGTGGAGGCTACCGTGAGGAAAAACAAACCAAGTGCTTTTGAGTTTAGTTTACCTTAAGAAAAGCAAGTGCATCGTCTGAATAATCGGCTTCGAAAGGCAAAAATATGCAAATAAGGGGCCATTTCTATAAAGTGACGGTTTATCGAGGGCTGCTACAAGGGAAAAAATGCCGAATGTTTTCTATTGTAGTCCTACCTTTAATCACGGCGTGAATTTGATTCATCGATTCATAGCCGAATCACCAAGTCGTATTCCGTTTCCTTGACGAAGTGTATTGCGAAGGAATCGATCAGCCGTGCTCAGAATGAGTAACTTTATGAATGCACGATCAACAACATCAGTTGCAGGTGCATCCACATTGCTGGGTTACTTTTGATCAGCGGTTTAGCAGACGATTCAGCGCAACAAGTGTAGAAAGGTCATAAAGAACTGAGATGTTACAGCATCAACATTGTTTTCTTTGCAAGCGTCCTGAAAATCTGTTTTTGTCTTTTGATTTCAGTTAGTTTATATTTTTTAGCGTTTTCTACTAACTTATGGGGCGACGATCCAAGCAGAAGGCAATACATTTACTTAAACGTTGAGGGGACTAGGTTTCAGTAAACAGAGACGGGTACCTGAAAAAAAAGGAGGTAGGAATGGTTATGAGCGACGAGACACACTCTGGTTAGGTACCCAGCTGACATTTGTGCTTGTGCTCGCAAATTATTAACTCGGCATTCAAGCTATATGAACTTTTCCAGAAGCTTTTGATAGTGCCTGAGGTCATTGAATTTAAACCGCTTTCTGCTGCGAATCATATCCTTCTAGTTTTATATTTGAAAATAGCATTTTGTAGGTGCAATTAAGTATAACCTAAGGCTTGTTTTGTCAATACAAGCATGCCTGATTAGGATCCTTCATTAGAGGTGACATATGGCAAACAAGAAAATAATTAATTTATGTTTACCATCTGTCACCATATTTTTGGTCAGGCGAGCAACCCGAACAAATGATCCGAAACTAGCAGATCATCCCTAGGGTTAGTTAGCCAAAAACCGGTTTAATTTCCAAAGGAAATGATAAATTGTGTCATTCAACTACTATAAAAACATTTTTTACTTTTAAAAACCTTTCCAGGAGACTTAAACCGCCTAAATACCCGCAATGGACGAGAATTAAGAGGCGATGAGTTGAATCATTCGAAGTGACCTATTGTCATTAATCTCCAAAAGAACGGAGTACTTAGGCAATCCGTTAAGTGAAAAATTTTGAGCTTAGAGAGACTATGAATCGGGTTTCACATAACGTCACAGCTACCTTGTTGGTTATCAAAACAATGAAATAGCAGCCATGTCGTATCCTTGTAGATTCGTCTTGTCTCCGAACGCAAGCTGAAGTATATGCACAGATCGATTCATTTCACTGCAGAGCCGAATCTTTCACCTATGGGAAGCATTTAACAGCAATCAGACTTCGCAAAAACAATTACTAAAAGGATGCGCAAACATCAGCAGACCCGAATCGAATGAACTGAGTGGAGAGAAACACTGGGGAAGAAAAGCTCGACTACGTTTCGTGTGTCTTCTACAATTCTTTCGTGCTCTATCTGCTTCCTGCGCGCTTTACAACCGAATAGAGCGCAGTCGAGGCTTCTCGATGTATCAATTAGATGATGAATGTTACGATTGGTTTGTTTTATTCATGTCTGACTCATCTACCGTATTGCAAAAGTTTCCCAAGTAAAGGGGTATCTGGGCTTTTATAAACTGATTAACTGATCAACTAGTTTTTGCTTATTCAAAAGCAAGTACATTTTTTTCTATTAACATCAGCTGGTAATATCCATTGGTTGCAGAGCGAACATGAATATAGAAAGCAAAGCCGAGACATTTTAATTTAACTTTTTAATTTAATTTAACATCATTTATATAGCGCTAACTCCACTAATTGACCAAAGCGCTTGTTATCCAAAAACCACCTTTCTTTAAGCTCTTCATTTTTCCCTACAGAAGCTTCCTGCAGTGTAATGAGTTGCGACCACTCTGCTTGACGGTTTCATGTAAACTTTTTAAACAAAGAATAAAGGGTCCCCTGTAAGGGTTGCTACTGAGCTCTATATATCTCGATCTCTAATAAAGTTAGCGTGCGTTCATCGAGATATGAAGCACGGGGGAACTTTGGAGACCATGAAAGATGCGCAAGAGTTGCTCTAGATACCACCGAGAGCAACTCTATGTAATACAATACCCTTTACTATTACGGCTCCCCTATACGAGACTATTCTGTCGTAATATGCAATGATATATACAATATTAAATTCCAATGGGTAAAAAAATGCTTACATGTGCTTCGAAAAAATTAATAAATAAATAATAAATAATGATAACAAATAAAATAAAATAAACTAACGATGATAACTAACATAAGTTTATATAAAGGTGTCAAAAGGTTAAAGGAGCCATTTAAGAAGAGTTTGTAATGAAATGGGCCACTTTCCTTTTAAAACTTAAAATATCGTTTGTGCTTCGAATATTTTGTGGAAGAATGTTATATTCTTTTGCCTTCTTGTTCTCTACATCAAACGTTACATAGCCAGTTGCCTGGACGTACGTCTTTGCTGCCTCATTAGCCTAAAAAAAAATATAACTTTTTCAACACTAAACAATCTTACAAAATCAACAACTCATATACCCATAATTTCTGACCTCATTTCACTTCATCCCGCCATAGTTAGTAGAGGGGACCCTCTATTAACTATGATCCCGTATTATTTTAGGAATCGCTTACTGCCCATGTTGGTGGTGTGGATGTCCTTAGGGCCAATTACAAGAATGGCGGTTAGACTTTCCTCTTGGTTCTCAAATTGGGCTGGGATAACCATTCTCAAATTACTAAAAGAAAATGGCACGATGAAGAGAAGGAGTGTATTAGTTCTCGCCTTAGGATATTCCAGTTTCACGCAAGTTACTCCGAAGTTAAGTCTCTCAAACGAAAGTACGTGTTACAAGACTTCGGTAAAAAGCGTTACATCGATCTGATTTCCTGAGATAAAACGCATAAAAGCGGACGGAGAGGATATTTCATCAATAAAATTAACTTCCAAATAGGAGGTCAATAGAATTTAAAATCAACTCTGCGGATGTTCGGGGAAGCCGATCTCTAATACTTTTTAAAGCTAAAGAAATTAATCTGTTGAAATTAAGACTACAAATTCAGACACGATTATCTGGTCGAATCTTCTTGCTCGGTGTTGGGCGATGCCATTGGCCTCCACACCTCCCTTTCCCTCGACAAGATGACAGTGACTTCTCCAAAAGACTTTGTTAGATCATGGCTGCAAGATAAGATATCATATTAAGAGTCTGAAGAGAAAAAGGAGAGGCCAGGGAAGGGACAGACTGGTAGCGAGTGATATTCATCATATGGAAGCATAGATATAATGACTAACCTTTATAAGCTATTAAGAATCCTTTTTTGTTAATACTGTAGTCAGAGGTGAACTCTAAATAGAGGTGGTTTCCCGAGCTTTTAATGACTTTATTAGTATGGCGTCCAGAAAACTTGCCAATCCGTCTGGAACTGGCGGATTTTCCGTCGTAAACGTAAAGAAAATCATAATATTTCTCCAAGTGGAAGTATCTAAAAACCAGGTTAATCCGAAGTGATGAGGTGATGACCCAACTACAACTAGTATGTTTTCCATAGTTCTTGGGATGCTTTGGGGTGTTTATTGTTCCTTGCTCTATTTTGTTCGTAGTTGAACTGCACGTGGACTGCTTTACTTCAACTTGAGGGGCAAACAGTATAAAAAGTAAAAAAAAAAATAAGAAAAGAAATAAATTAATTAATGAATAGAATAAACTTTAGAAAGAACCGATAACACTTCCAAAAAGGCGCCAACTTTTAAACTTGTAAGTGAAAGAAATATACATATATATATATCTATATTGTAGTACACGAGGACGGATAACTTCAAGCTAAGAAAGACATATAATCAAATAAAAAGTCTAAGAAAGTTTAATAAAATACGTTTCGGTCCGAGACCTTCATCAGTTGTAATACAAAGACTTACAAATTCCTCAAATAGATTTATATAGGGCGTAATGACACATATAAACAAAAACAGTAATTACTACGCGAAAAGTTATCACAATAAAAAATTGTGGAATCGACTGAAAATGTTAAGGATCCAGCGTTGATTTGAAAGGCGAGAATTGTGCTAAAATTCCCAATCAACGCTGAGACTGGGACCTTTGATGCCCGCCCAATTTGAAAAAATTCTCCGCATTAATTATAGTTTATTCTTTTTTTTCGGAGTGAAATTCCTGGCGCTTATTCAAGCGAATAAGCGCTGGTTCCTTAACATTTTCAGTAGATTCGATGATTTTTTATTGTGATAATTTTTCGCGTAGTAATTACTGTTTTTGTTTATATGTGTCATCATGCCCTATATAAATCTATTTAAGGAATTTGTAAGTCTTTGTATTACAAATGATGAAGGTCTCGGACCAAAACGTATTTTATTAAACTTTCTTAGACTTTTTATTTGATCATGTCTTTCTTAGCTCGAAGTTGTCCGTCCTCGTGTACTACAATATTTTTCCTATTATTTATCGAGGTTTGGACTGTGAATCCCTTTGGATCCTTCTGGCTGA